CCAGCCCCCACCGCTCCCCCCCCAGGGAATCACCAAGTGGGCCAGGTGCCCGGGAGATTAGAACCTAGCACCGCCCTGCGCCCAGCCTGACGGCCAGCCGCCAATCAGGAAAGGGGCTGACGGCCAGCCGCCAATCACCACCCTCGCTTCCAGGCAAGACACGACCCCCCCGACACACACCCCTCTCACACGTACACGAGTCAGATCTTCAGCCGCAGGCTGCCCTGGAGCCCTGCCCACGCGCTGAGCAACGCGCCCGTAACCCGGAGCCAAGCCCCAACGTGTGAGGGCCCCGCCCCCGCAGCCCCCACTGCACAGCGCACCAGAATGGGGAGCCACGACAGGAGGCGGCCCCTGCAGGCTGCCTGTCTGCGCCGAGTGTCCCAGTGACACTGTGCACCACCGCAAATCACACCAGCTACCGGCAGGCTGCCCCACCGTGCCACGCCACCGGACTCTGCCCGGGCTTGGCTGAGCGTGAGGCCACCCAATGCCAGCTGGAGCTAGCATGACGAGCGCCATCGGTCCAGGCGGGACACCAGCCTGGCAGAAAACGTCTCCCGCACAGATGGCACCGGGCACGAAGGGCCAGATTTTGAGGGGGGGGGGGGACGCCACGTGCCCACTGAAATCAAGGTGAGCTCAGGGCCTACACAGCTTTACGATCTGGCCCTAAGGGAGCAGCTCGCACGAGCGCAGCGAAGCAGCAAACCGGGAGCCCTGGCGTCTACGAGCGCAGCTCTGAGCTCGAGCCAGCTGACATGATCCCACAGGTCGGAGAGGAACGAGCCTGGGGCTCCTGCTCTCCTGGAGGGCTCAGGGTGGCAAACCAACAGCTTGCTACCCGGCTGGGCACTGCTCTCAGATACCCCGTGGAGGGGAGAAGGCTCCGGGCCGGGCCCCGCCAGGCAGCGGGTCCTAGGGGGCCACCTGCTGTGCAGGATCCCTCGCCACGCCCACGAGGTGCTTGAGGCAGCGACGGAGGCGTGTGGAGACGTTCTAGAGGGGCTCATCTCTCGCCCACATGGCGCGCCGCCGCACGAGGCCAGCTCCGCCCGGCGCACGGGGGGGCATCTCCTTCACCCAGCGAGCGGCCTTTCCCCTAGACACGCTCATGGCACCCGGTGCAGGGAGACGAGCCGGGCAGGCCTCAGTTAAAAGCCGAGGGAGCTGCCGGCGGGAGGGGACTGTGACAGCAGAGAAGGGGGCCACGCAGCATCAGAGACGCTCCCCCCAAACCGCCAGGCCCTACGCACCCAGCCAGACCAGGCTGACGGAAGGTGCCTCACACCGAGGGCGCAGCACGGACGGGAGAAAAGGCCCCGCTGGCCCTGAGCCAGGCTTCGGCCTGCTCCAAGACCAGGCTGGGCGTGAGGTGAGGCAGGTGGCGTCCCTGCTGGGCCTAGCTATGGGCTCTGGAGCTGGGAGGCCTGTGCTGCTGCCAGGTCTCCAGCGGTCCTGCTGCTTCTAGCTACGTCGCCTGCCTTCCGGCGCCACAAGATTCAGTGCGCCGGGGCAGCACTGCAGAGGCACTGAGGGAGGGGGCTCCTTACTGGGCCTGGCGCAGGCGCCCCCGGGGTGTGATCCTTGCTCTTGGATCGGAGATGAGCTGCTGAGCCCCCGCCCTGGCAGAGAGAGGGGCTAATGCCACTCCCTGTCCTGCGGAACAGGGGCCCTCGGCAACGCCGCTCCTACAACAGCAGAGGATCCGGCTTCAGACCTGCTGCTTCCTCCGGCTCAGCGAAGGCGTTTCCTCTCCCCGCGCTGGGCCTGCAGCTTCCTCCTCGGCTGCAGCCTCCCCGGCCCAGAAAGTCAGGGCCGGAGCGTCTCAGGTCAGCGCTGTGGGAAACGTGCCAGCCCCTCTGTGACAAGTCCAGCCCTTCGCTCGGCGGGGGGAGCTCCCTCGGTACCCGGCCCAGCAGAACAGCATCACCGGGCGACGGGCCACTCCCGACGGAGAAGAGCCCCAAGCCTGTCTGAGCTAAAGCCATGCCGGGCTGGGCCCGAGGGGAAAATCAAATCAACTCCTTTGCCACGTCCAGTCAGGCTGCAGCCCGGCGCGACTGTCAGCACGAGCCAGGCCTCCCGCAGGGCAACGCACTTCGTTCGGAGAAAGGGGCTGAGAGAGAGAGCTCGTCAGCAGCAAAGGATTGTGGGTTGGCAAAAACCCCTTCTCTTTCGTCCCAGCCTAGGCGGCCGCAGGACTCCACTCCTCCCTGGACAGCAGCTTTCGCCTCCTGACTGGGGGCAGCTTCCCGGGTCCTGGCTAGAGCCATCCACACGCTCTGGGGCACGGGCAGGATTCACCAGCATCCCCGCTACGAAGAACTAGTGAGACGGCAAGAACTAGCAGCCAGGGTCCCCTGCCCCTGGCACCGTCACGTAGGGAGAAAAGAAGCCGGGTCCCTCGAAGCAAACCTGATCGATACCTGCGGCGCCGGAGGGCCAGCGGCTCCGGGACCTCCCATGACTCAGCCGTCCCACGGGCTGTTCTCTTGTGAGTCCGTTTGGGTCTTAGTTTGGTCTCTGGGGAGGAAGGCCACACGCACACACACATCCACGGGTCTCTTCCTCTGCCGCCCCGCTCATGTTGCTGCCGCCACCTCCTGCGGCGCCTCGTCCTCGTAGTCGGAGAGGTAGGACTCCATGCTCTGCCGGGCGAGCAGCTCTCTCCTGGCCTGCAGGCGCTCGCACCTGGGGCAGCAGCCCGATTTGAAGCAGCACTTGTGATAGCAGGCCTTGCACTCTGAGGGAGGGAGAGAGAAAGCAGCACCGTGAGCATGGCAGAGACTTCGCCACGGCCCAGGTACCCCCTTTCCGACCCAGCCCAACCGGGGGGGGGGACCCCGTCACGGACCAGGAAGGAGGGGAGGGCACCAACAGCTCGGCTGATCACATCTCCGGGGTGACAATTCTGACTGGGTGGCTCTGCCATGGCTCTTAAAGAGGAAGCTTTTTGGAGGAGGAAGGGCGTCCCCATGGGGTTGGAAGCCAAGGCCTTTGGGGCCCTTCGCTGAGTTTCAGACGGTCGGTCCCTTTCCTGGGGCGTCTCATCCCTTTCCCAAAGGCTTCCCGCCCTGCCAAGGAAAAGGTGGCCCCGACCGAAGGCCATCACAGAAAACCCGCGTGGCAAGAGAGTCTCTTTTTGAAGAGAACGCCGTGGTTGTGAAGCCGAGGGCGGCTGGCCGGCCGGCTCAGGAGAGCGGGGCCTGGATCCGGGGCTGTCACGCGATCGGCACAGTCTGGCTGTGACCAAAAGCCATTCTCGCCTACGCAGCTCGGGGGCGTCAAGAGACCGACTGGATCGTGTCAAGCCTGCCCCACGTGGCCAAAACGTGGTGGTTCCCACACACCCGGAGGGGCCCCTCAAAGGCAGCGAAGTCAGAGGGGTTGCGCAGGGTCCACATACATGTCCCGCATCGGATCTGGTTTTGTGTTGGAGGGCAGGCTGCAGCCAGGGCACCTCCACTTAGCCTGCTGCCCGTCTGTGCAAGAGTAAACGGGGCGGCGAGCCCACAGCGCCAGCCCCTTCCTCCTGCACCAAATTCGCTTCAGAGGAGACAGGGGCCAGGCCCAGCTCTCTCCCAGGGCCGGTGACGGCTCCCGGCACCTCGGACGCCAGCGTCTCACCTTCACACGTCCTGCACTTGTTCAGTTCGAAGGGGAAGATGACGTCGTCCTCCTTTTGACAGAACTCGCAGATGAAGCCCTTGGCCTGGCACAGCTGTAACGACAGAAGGGAGAGGAGTGAAGGAGAAACGCCCTGGGGGGTGACGCCGATGCGCCTGATTTCCCTGGTGAAGGCTGACGCCCTGTGCTCGGTGGCAGCATGGCCCAGGAGCGCCGTGGAAATCAGCACTGCCTTCCCCACCAGCTTCTTGTGTCTCTGATCAGCTCCCCCTGCACATGAGGCTTGGTGGGACACGTCCCACGAGATTCCAACCTTCCCACGGGGCTGGAGCCATTGTCTGTTTTAGACACCACAGGCCAGAAGCGGTCCAGCACAGGCAGCCTGTCTGCTGGGTGGAGGTGTACAGGATCCAGGCGTTACGTCTGACTGACTACACACGTATCAGCAAATGCTTCAGGGCAACACCCACGCCTTGCTGGGTACGTGGGCGGTGCCAGAGCACAATCTGTGCCACCACAATACAACGTAAGTAACCGCGGTTGTACCAACACACCCCCACAGCAGTGTCGTCTGCACAGGCGGCCGCACACACACAACGCTGCTCAACCTGTGACAGTCCAGGTGTTTTGTCCCCTCTGGACTTCCCAGTAAGCCTTGGGAGTTCCATGAGAAGGCCCCTCTGTCAGCAGGCAGCTTTTTGGTGCCAACGGCACAGGCCCCCGGCTGTGACTGGCATCGCTGCCCCTGCACAGCTGGAACTCACGGAGACTCCTTTGGGACGGTTTGGAAGCGGAGTTACCAATCACAGCAGGTTTTCACACAGACAATCAAGGCCAGATCTACCCTACAAAACCCACTTGGACCAGTTACAATCCAGTTGTCAAGGACCGTTTAAACGCGGTGTTGAAGCAAAAACACGCTCCTCTCTGGTTAGGCGGCTAACAACTGATTGCTTTATTGATCAGTAAAGCAAAGTGAGCCAAACGTGGTCCGAGCAAAGTCGGGCCCAGTAAAGCTGCTTAATACAATCAATCCTAGTATCTTTATACCCTTAACCAAACAGTCTGACGTCAGGGCATCCAATTACAGAAATAATCAATTAAACTAGGAAAAACAAAGCCTTATCAACAAGATGGCGGACAGGTACGAGGGAGTACCTCTCCTCTCTGAACCAGCCCAATTAACACATTCCAATAGCACATCTGTCTTGGCCTGGCGCATGGGGTGATAGAAAGTTCACTCTGGCCTACGTGCAAAGACAAAAAGCTGAAATGGTTTCTGTTATACAAGATGGCTTCTAGCTAAACCTAAAATAGCTTCTACAGCGGTCTCAACTCAGGTGGACATGGGACCCAAATTGGCTAGAGTCCTGGAGCAGTCTTGGCTGCCGCATGGCTTAGGGACATGGTTAGGTCCCGTCTACACTAAACAGCACAACTGGATTCTAACCACCTCCACAGTGTTGTAGCCAGCTCCCCATTGGGGTGGTTTTTCAGCGTAGCTCAGCCTTGAGGGAGGCAGCGAAGCCAAATGTTACATCTCTAGCCCTGCTGGACTCCAAACCTCACCTCCTCCCTCTCTGACTGGGTTTAATTTAGTCTCTTAAAATCTGATTTACTAGCAAAAAGAACAGTTAAATTAAGCAGAAATGCCGCACCCCCCTCTACTGGATCAGCAAAAATAGAGTGAGTCAAAACCCGAAAAGGTTAGAGGGGAAAACCACAATTCAGGGGACACGCTCCTGCCCCCCAAATGCCTCTTCCCCTGCAGGCCGGAGCAACCCTTCCGACTTCCGTTTGTTCTACGGAGTCACAGCTGCCGGGATTTCCTCGCACAGACATGCTGTCTGAATCCAGGGTTGCTGCATCTCCACGCGTAGCTAGAGGGACTGTTTGTGAGATTGCCCATTTCTAGCTCATTTGCGATGGAATGGGGGGGGGGATGCCCAACTGTTTGGGGCGCCCGGGGCATTTGGGGGCACAGTTCTGCACACAGGATTCGCATCCAGGCCAGTATCCCAATAACGCTCGCATCGAATGCTGCAAAGGAATGGGCAGGAATCTTTGCAGCAGGTAGCTATCCAGGCAAGTTGAGTAGCCAGGGCCCTGGTGCCAGTGACTGTGGATCTCTTAACCACTCCTCACAGGGTGCTGTCTGCCAAAAGGGAGGCAGCCTGTATGCTCCACACCATTGTTATGACGATGCAGCACCCTCCGGTGGAGGATCTCAAAGCCAAGCCTCTACCACTCCCCTGCAAATAAGGAAGTGGCTTGTGGGGAAACTGAGGCACGGAAGTGGGACCCAACTTGTCCCAAGTCAGGCAGCGAATCAGTGGCAGCGTTGGAAACAGGACCCGGGAGTCCTAACGCTCAGTGCCCCCCTCGAAGCACCAGTCACGGTGCCTCTGCCCTGAACATGGCGAAGCACAAGCACATCCCAGCGCGCTGCAGGGGGCCTACGGCCCATTTTGATACCGTGGGAAGGGAGACGGCCAACGGGTGCCAGGCAGGGAGTGGGAACATGCAGCTAAATCCCAAGGTATCGGCCCTCGGCAGGTGTTCCCAAGATCCGCTGCTGCCTTTATAAAGCCGGGTGCCTCGCCAGGGACAGTAACATCTGATCCAGCCATAACAATCAACATGGTAGTTACCCACCATGCATCTCTCAACATGCAGGGTGCCGGCCTTGAGCAGCTCCAGCAGGCAGGGAGCTAACTCCCCCTTCTTCGTGGCAGTCAGGTCGTTTAAGGAGTAGAGGTGGAGGTCCTCGGTCAGATGCCCTGGCACCGTGTCGAAGGAGTCCAGCAGCCTGCAGGGACGGAGACACCGGTGCTGAGAGCCAAGCGAGGACTCTGCAGAGCTGGGAACTACGGCAGCTCTCCGGGGCCAATGACACTGTGCGAGCCCCTGCTCTGCCTTCCCGCCCCATCCAGGCACGGTCACCTCTAGAGCAGGGGTGGGCAAAGGGGCCTCCGCTGGCCTGATCCGGCCCGTGGACACCCTGCCACCCCCAGATCAATCAGGGCCTAGGGACGGGGGAGCGCGCTAGGTCTCCTCCCACCATCAGGGGCGCAGGTACACTAGAGAGAGACACCAGCTGTTCAGAACAGCTGGCAGGTCGGGGCGGGGCCGCCCCTTCTGCCTGAGGCCCCACCCCTTGCGGAGCAGCCCAGGGTCAGTTCAAAAATGTGTCAAGTGGCCTCCTTTCTAAAATGATTGCCCAGCCCTGCTCTAGAGCCCGCTGCCGGGCCGGAGCGCTTTCACTGCTGCGCCCTGTCCTAGCCCAGCAGGCTCTGTCCCAGCTCACACCTGCCCCCCGCTCGGCTGTGGGTCCCCTCTAGGGCAGCGTGCACCTCCCACAGCAGAGGGGAGGAGCCAGTTCAAAAATGTGTCAAGTGGCCTCCTTTCTAAAATGATTGCCCAGCCCTGCTCTAGAGCCCGCTGCCGGGCCGGAGCGCTTTCACTGCTGCGCCCTGTCCTAGCCCAGCAGGCTCTGTCCCAGCTCACACCTGCCCCCCGCTCGGCTGTGGGTCCCCTCTAGGGCAGCGTGCACCTCCCACAGCAGAGGGGAGGAGCGGGCGCAAAAATGTGTCAAGTGGCCTCCTTTCTAAAATGATTGCCCAGCCCTGCTCTAGAGCCCGCTGCCGGGCCGGAGCGCTTTCACTGCTGCGCCCTGTCCTAGCCCAGCAGGCTCTGTCCCAGCTCACACCTGCCCCCCGCTCGGCTGTGGGTCCCCTCTAGGGCAGCGTGCACCTCCCACAGCAGAGGGGAGGAGCGGGCGCGACAGCGTCTCATCTGGAGGACGGGGAAGTGCCTGGAAAGGGCGTC